AATCCTTGCAAGTGAAATATCTTTCTGCTTTTTTTTCATATCCTCCATGGTGCCTGGCAGTCACACTCAATAAAATGCTCAGTGAATGAATGGCACACTCAAACTTATGCACCTTCAGATGCTCAATCTCTTTTGTTTCCCCATTTGTCTCCAGGGAAGGAACCTGAGGCATTTATCCCATGCTTAAAGAGACTGTGTTGTCATGTGTTTCACATCTACAAGCCAAGACACATTTGATAAGGTCTGTAATTATGGAACTATGGAACAAGCAAGGTCGTTTATCCAGTCTGGGCCTGCTGGCTACTGTAGGAGCATGATTAGCATGTGTATGGAATCAAATGACCATATTTGAAACCTAACCATTTTTCCAAAACATAACGTTGGGAATTCAATGGATCTCTACATCAATCTGAAAAGAACATGCGATATTAATCAAGGTTTACATGATTAGCCATGAATATACTCACCAAAAAAACTAGGAGAGTTGGCTTCTGAAAAGCAAGAAAGCATTATATAATCTGGAGACACCCCTAGACTTTTTCATACTAGACTTTTGCAAAGAAGTGAAACAGTTCACATCTTTGTTGCAACTAATTCCACAAACAATGATTAGGTATCAACTACCAACTAAGTGCTGTGAGAACTGTAAGGGTGTCTAAAACATGAAGCCTACCTGTCCTCAAGTAAACAACAATTTCATGGAGGAGACAGTACCATTATCGTACCATTCTGCAGCTTAAAACATACATTGGTACATATTTCCTCCATTAAATTTCCCAGCAAACCTATGACATAAATAAGATTTGCTATACATAATTCACACATGAGAAAAACTGCAGGTTAAGGGACCAAGATGCTTGCCTCCCGGTCTAAAGTTCTTCCTTCTCTTGAACAAACAGTCATATGAAAAGCAGATGGTAATAAATAATAGGAGTCCTGGTGTGGCACTGTGGGCTAATGCACTGGACTGCAAAGGTGGTATGAACCACAAGATTGCTGGTTCAAGCTCACCAGCTGCTCCTTGGAAACCCTATACAGGGTCTCTATGGGTCAGAATCAACTCGACAGCACTTAACAACAGCAACAACATGGAAAAGAGTCCTGGTGTAGTGCTGTAGGATTAGCATTGAAATACTAACCTTAAGGTTGGCGTTCAAACCCACCAGTGACTCAATGGCAAGTAACAACAAAGAGAGGAAGAGTTTAATATTAACCTCCATGGTGGGAATTTGAAAGTAATCTGTGAAGGTGACTTTTGACTTTGACTTTGAGGTGGGTTTTAGAGGACGGAATATTTTCAGTCAATTAACATGGGGAATGAGAGTTAGGTCTGAGCGAAAAAGGAGAGTACACAAGCAACATCATGAAGTACAGGAGTTTAAGACATAACAAGAAGCTTAGTTTGGCTGGTGGTCTCGCAGTGTAAGAATGTGGCACCGAAGTCGCAAAGGTAAGCTTAGGCTTTGAACGCCAGGCAGAGTGGAAGCGTCTACATACGATACAGAAAAGCGGCAGCTTTAAAGGCAAGCTTTTTATTTCAGACTTGTCATTTTGGGCAGGACAATTCTTTTTTATTGGGATCATTACATTGCCAACAGGGCATCTGGCATCTCTGGTCTTTGCCCACTAAATGCTGGCTGGTTGTGCTTTCCAGTCATGGAAAAAAATCAAAGACCTTACACATTTCCAAATGTCCAAAAAGCAGCTCTGTCACCAGTTTTAGAGAAGGCTGCCAAAAGTGTCTAGTCCAGGTCCAGGTGAAGAAAGGAAAAGCCAGAAACCCACTGCGAAGTGTACTGTGATGATTTAGGAAAGATCCAATACAATGGTCACATGGGGTGATGGGAAAAGAAACGACAGGTATGAGAGAGATCATGGAATCAGAACAGAATCAACTAGATTTGACTTTTGTTGAGCAGAGGGAAAAAAAGGAATTAAACATGATTCCAAAATTTCCAGCTTGTGGAATTGAGAAAATAACGCTATTAACTAAATTACAGCGAAGAAAAATGTGCCAGTGGTGGGAGGGAGGGCAGAGTTCTATTTTTAGGTGTCTGAATATGAACCATCTATATATCTCTGTGGCACTGTAAGCTAATAATTAGAAAATGTGGGTCTAGAGCTCAACCCAAGTTATTGTTGTTGATTAGTGCTGTTGAGCAGGTTCCAACTCATAGCGACCCTGTATAGGGTTTCCAAGGAGCAGCTAATGAGTCTGAAACGCTGACCTTGTGGTCTAGTGCTTTATCTTACAACGCTACACCAGGACTCCCAACCCAAGTTAGGGATAAGAAACAAACAGAATCAAAGGAGACACGCAGAATAGGAAGAGAAACCATCTAAGGAAAGACATTTAAAGAATTCCTTGTTTTACTGTTTTGAAAATTGTCCTTTTCCTTGTATTCATCCTCTCCCATAATGCTCTTTCATCTTGCTTACTTTAGCCATTTCACCAGGAGGGTCAAATTGCTAGAGAAGGACATCATGCTTAGTAGAGAATCAACAAAAAAAGAGAGAGACCCTCAATGAGATGGACTGAAACAGTGGCTGCCCCAGTGGACTCACACAGCACCACCTGGGGGGAAAGCGCAGGACCAGGCACTATTTATTCTGTTAGACATATGATCACTACGAGGTGGAACAGACTCCAGGGCACCCAACGTGTTCTCTTCAGTTTGCCAGTTAGTCAAACATGGTACAGAGAGAGAAGGAAAAAACAAAAACACAAGAGACAGACCAACAGAGACAATGAGATGTGACAGATCTCTTCTTAGATTTTAAAACTAAAAATGTTAAGCAAGTACTCAAGTTCACCAATCTCTGAACTTTGGTGAACTCACTAATTGTACTCTCCCTTTACAAAACCAAAAAAAAGCACTGTCATTGAGTCAATTCCGACTCATAGATATCCTCTTAGATAGTCATGAGAAGTTGTATAGAGAAGTCCACACAGTGAGGAACTGAAGCCTCCTAAAAACAGTTTCTTGAGTTAGTCTGGAAGCAAACCTCCCAGCTCCAATCAAGCCTTTAGGTGACTGTAGCTCTGCCTGACAGATTAACTCCAACCTCATAAGAGAACCAGTGTCAAAACCACCTAGGCTAAGCCACTCTCAGATTCCTGAACCTCAGGGAATTCTGTGAGAAAATATATTTTATATGTAGAATAGTCCTGGTGTGGCAATATATGATAAACACTGCCAGCAACAAGGTCAGCAGTTCAAACTCACCAGTTGCTTCTCGGAAACTCTAATCAGTGTCACTATGCACCAGAACCAACTCCAAGGCACTTAACGACAATAAATAATATATGCTTCTTTCCTCAATGGTTCAAAATAGAGTATTTTGTTTTGTTTTAAATAGCACATGCATATACAAGCTAACAATGAAAGACAATATGAGTTTAGTGCCAAATAAGTGTTTCCAGCTATGTCTACATAAGCTCAGAACAGGAAAGATTTGTCTTTGGGTTAGAGAGTTGAGAAAAGGTTTCATGCAGAAGACAGAACTTCAACTAAATCTAAAGGAGAGGTGAGGCAGGCATCAGCAAAGTGAATGAGAACACTCTAGGAAGGACGAGATTGATGTGGCAAATATTAAATGGCAGGTGGTTGAAGCAGAGCACTGTTGGGAAAAATGGGACGATGAAGTAGTAAAGTTAGGTTTAGATCAAATTAAGGAAGGCTTTGAATATAAAGGTCAGATTTTATCTCGTAGGCATGGAGAGTTGCTGAGAATTTTTGAATAGGATACTAATCCTGTTCAATTGGAATTTGCAATTATGAGAAATTTCTGAGAAGTACCTCCTTTCTCCATGCTTATTACCCTATCCCCAATGTGCTTTCTTTATGCAGAACTGTTAATAAATACAAGTCAAAGACTTCATTTTGCTCGGATCCATCATCAACACTCATGGAAGGAAGCAGCAGTCAAGAAATCAAACGATGATGTAAATCAGCTGCAAAAGACTTAAGTGTTCTAGAGCAAAGATGTCAGTTTGACGACAAAGGTGCACCTGAACCAAGCCAAGGTATTTCAATCACCTTAGATGCATGTGAAAGTTGGACAGTGAATAAAAAGACTGTAGCAGAATCCATGCATAGTGTTGGAAAAGAATACTAATAGCACCGCATGGACTTCCAGTCGAACAAACAAATGACTTGGAAGAAGTAGAATTAGAATACTCTTTAGAAACAAGGATGGCAAGATTTTTGTCTCTCATACTTGGGACATATTATCAGGAGGGATTAGTCGTGGCAGAAGAACATTATGTTTGGAAAAGTGGAGAGTCAGAGAGAAACAGGAAGACTCTAAGAAGATGGACTGGCACGGTGGCAGCAGCAGTGGACTCGAACATACCAACAACTGAGAGGCTGGTGTAGGGCCAGGCAGTGTTTTGTTGTGTTGTGCATGGGGATGTTATGAGTCAGAACCTACTGAACAGGAACTAACAACAAAGATACAACACAAAAATTCTCTTTAGAAAATCAATAAAATGGAATTAATTTTAGAATAATATTTTAACTATATTTGACGGAACATTTTGTTTATCATTTTACCATGTAAATTTATATTTTATACTCAATACTCTTCACATTCAAAATGTGACCCCAAATTCAGTGTGTGCTAAAAATATATTATGTTAAAATAAAGTTATTGTAAGACGGCGCTAAACTCTGGCTACTCTCCAAGCAGCATTATCAGAAATGCCTTCATGTACTCCTTTCCTTTGTTTTACCTTTACATGATGTCAGATGCAGACAATTATAACTATAACACCTCAATCTCTTGGAGTGAAGATAACAGAAAAATCCAAGAAGTAGAATAGAAAAGTATAACAAATATTTAGGGGCCTGCTTATCCCTAAGTCTGATTATAAAAATAAGTTAAGTTCTAATTTTACATTCTCCTCATTAAAATCAGCAAAAATACAGGCCTCAAAAGCAGTTTCTGGAGACAAGATCATAGGTGGGAACTCACTTCAATTCACAATAAATACTTACTGTGTGAGAACCGCTGAGTGATCGGGGTTCCAGGATAAGGGTATGTTCGACTTTCCCACTGAATGTTTCCTTCCTGTACAGCCTTCATGAAACCATGGTAACACTGGTGGGCTACACCTAAAGACAAAAAGACAAGTGTTTCAGCCTGGACACTTCTATAAGTCAAATGATTAGAACTACATCTAGAGAAATAACTGTAAAAATCCATTGAAAATCGGAACATGGAATGTACGAAGTATGAATCTGGGAAAATTGGAAGTTGTCAAAAATGAAATGGAACACATAAACATCAATGTCTTAGGCATTAGTGAGCTGAAATGGACTGGTATTGACCATTTTGAATCTGACAACCACATGGTTTACTAGGCCGGGAATGACAAATTGAAGAGGAATGGTGTTGCATTCATCATCAAAAAGAACATATCCAGATCAGTCATGAGGTACAATGCTGTCTGTGATAGGATAATATCCATGTGCTTAAAGGGAAGCCCAGTTAATACCACTATTATTCAAATTTATGCACCAACCACTAAAGCCAATGAGGATGAAATAGAAGAATTCTACTAATTTCTTCAATTTGAAACTGATAAAACATACAATCAGGATGTACTGATCACAGAACAAACAAGATGCCGGACAGGGTGGAAGTGCAGTGAAGAGCTTCATCAGCAACAACACAGAATACCGGACCAATCAGGCTCAGGGGATGGTGTCAGAACTCTGAATCATATATAAGAAATATTTAGAAGGTTGTACGGCTTACAGGTAGGGGAATTTGTAGCAGAAGCAAGAAATCCATTGTTTTCTAATTCAAGATGCTCAACTGCTCCCAGACCCGTCATCTTGGGCAAGACCAAGCGGGGTAAGGATCAGAGCAGCCACGGATGCCTGAGAAAACCACAGAAATAAAGGTGTAGACATTCTTTTTTGGGGGGAGTATCTGTTTATTGGTCTCTCACTGTCTGCACACCTCCATTCTGGTGACTAGAGGGGATGCCTGAATAAATGGACACCCCACCCCCACAACTAAAGGGTTCTACTACGCATGTGTACAGATCCCCTTGAAATTTAAACTGACAGTTTCCACTTAAAACGAAAGGGCCACAGCTGGGCCTGAACTGTTTATCTCTAGGAAAAAGGCCTGAATGGGGATTGTGGAGCGGGACAGACAGACAAAAAAAGGAAATAGGCTGAAAATTAAATCCTGAGTTACGTTACAACAACCAACAGTGGCATCTTGAAATTTCTGTAGCCCACCTCCAGATGACATCTACCTAGAGGCAATCAGAAAGCATATTAGATAATACCAAAATACACACCCATCTAAGTATTTAAGCCACATATAACTCCTGAATATACCCAAAAAACAGAAGCAGATGACCATATCATCACAGGTCCAGAAACAAGAGAAAGTGACTGAGGCAAATGAGTTGGTAGTAGACCTATACTCCATGCTGGAAGATGGGCAGGCTTTGGAAATGCCTGAGAAGGAATTC